GACGTTGCTGCTGAGTGACGGAGTCCCAGAATCAGTGGCGACAACTTGGAACTGGAAAGTTTTGAGAGTTTCAAAATCGAAACTCTTTAGCGCCAAAATGCTTCCAGTTTCAGCGTTTATGTTAAGAAACGAAGTCAGTGTGTCATGACTGCCTTTTTCTCTCAAAATGTGGTACGAAATAAGCGCATTATCCCCATCGTCTTGGTCATATGCTTTTACTGAAAAAACTGAGGCCCCGGGGTTGTTATTCTCTGTGATGTAAAATGTGTACGGGCTTAATACAAACTCAGGCACGTTGTCGTTCACATCAGACACAACGACTTTCATAGTCTTTTCACTTGAAAATGGTGGTTCACCTTCGTCTTTTGCACTGATTGTGACGTCATATTGAGCCATCATTTCTCTATCCAACCGTGACTTGGTCACAACTGCATACATATTTTCTTGTAAGGACTGAGACAAAGAAAACGGGACATCTTCTCTGATCGTGCAAATCACTTTACCATTTATCCCAGAATCCAAATCATTTACACTAATAAGAGCTACAGTAGTTCCTATCTTTGCATCTTCCCTTATCAAACTCGAAAATGACGTCACTTCTATGTCAGGTGGATTGTCATTTACGTCTTTAACACTTATCATAACACTTTTATCACTTGTAAGAGGAACTGGTCCTTTATCAGAAGCCTGGATGTCAATTTCATAAGATTTGCTTTCCTCAAAATCCAGCTGACCTGTCACTTTAATTTCACCCGTGTTTTCATCTATGCTAAAAATTTCCAATAACTTAGAATCAATTTCGTTGCCAAAGGAATATATAATTTCACTATTGGCACCCTCATCCAAATCTGTTGCATTTACCTGAAATATTACAGTTCCAATAGGGATATTTTCATCAACTGTAACAGAATAAGTTTCTTTTGTGAACAACGGGGAATTGTCATTAACATCAAGGACATCCACACTAATTTCTATATCTCCATACTTTGCTGGTTTCCCTCCATCCATCGCTGTTAAACGCAGTTTGTGTTTCGCAGCTATTTCTCTATCCAACTGCTTCTGCAGAACTAAAAACGGCACCTTACGATCCTCGCCTCGATCTTTGACTTCTACCCTGAAATGTTCGTTGTGGCTAAGTTTGTACTGCTGAATGGAGAACTGGCCTACGTCGGGGTCGCGGGCTGCCTGCAACTGAAATCTCGCTCCCGGCAGGGCTGACTCTGAAATCTCAAGCTTCTTCTCTTTCTCCGGAAAAACGGGCGAGTGATCGTTCACATCCAGGATTTCCACTGACACGTAGTGGATTTCAAGTGGGTTTTCCAGCACGGTTTTTAGGTTGATTAAACATGGGCTGATACGTTCGCACACCTCTTCTCTGTCTATTTTGCTTTTCAGATAAAGGATACCATCGTTTTCATTTACCTCAAACGGGGTTTCGGTTGTGCCTGCAACGATGCGATATCCTCTGTTTTTCAGTACGTTCTTATCCAATCCCAAATCCTTTGCAATGTTCCCAACAAAAGTTCCACCTTGAACCTCCTCCGAAATAGAGTATTTGAGCTGTGCAAACACCACGCTCCATAATTCGGTTAAAGCAAATAAAAGAGCAAACCAACAATGTCGCGCCCGCCGTGCATTTCGTATTCTTTGTTCCATAACAAAAAAAAGATGAATGTGCAGCAAAAAAGGCCGTATCTTGAAATCCAACAAGAGTCCTGAAAGCTGTAATGTATATATCTATGTATGTAAGTGTATAGAATCTGTAAGTTTACCAAATATTTAGCTGCCTTTGATGTAAGCCTGCGATCTAACGCACAGATTGCTTTTCGGCTGAATATGAGGGATGTGTTTCTGGATGTCACGTGGTACATGCTCAGCAGATACCCTGACCATCACTGACACCAAGCGTCTAAACATATATATTGTATTTCTTGATATTCTTGGACTTTTTCATCAATACAAAAAACAATTATAATTTGTAGCTATTGGTGATAAGAAAAAGGTAATGCAAATACACTTGAAACATGGTATTTGCACTTTGCATTTGATGAAACTGAAAGGTTAGCGAGTTAAGAAAATATCAAATTGTAAAAATACTAGGATCCCAGCTGTCGATGGATGACAAAAGTTATATGCGCACGCATTTCCTATTTTTTTTTTCTTTTCAACAAAAAGCGATATGAGAAGAATAAAAAAGAAATGAACCAGTTATGTTGAGCAAGTTATGTTAAGCTTAGAAAATTTCACGGCTAAATTGTCGATCTTACCTCTTCAGAAGTGCGTCTTCTGTCAGGTAGAACTAACGTGTTGGCATGACTTCCAGGTACTATAGTAGATCCAATACTCATCCTC